GTATGTCTTGTATGGGGTTTTTCCTGTAATTGTGATATAATGTTCACTTTGTTGGGTTTTGTTGCAGTATGCCCCATATCTGCCTTGACCATAATTATTTCTTTTTCTTTTTCTCCATGGCCAATTAAAGTTTTCTTTATTTTTAACCTTTGCTAAAGTTTCATTCCTTTCTCAGTCAGCAATATTATTGTCTAATCCTTGTTGGATTAGATTTTGAGAACAGTCTCAGCAGCAAAATTTAATGATTTCTCTATCTTCTTAATCTCATCAATTAATGGTTAAACCTTCTTTTATATGTGGCAACAGTCACATTCGCTTCATTGACATTTCTAATTAGTATCCAAATTTTCTTTTTATCTCCTGATATTTCCGAAATCATGATTTCTATAATCAATGCATATGTATGCTAAAATCATATGAACTGTTGACAAAATGACTGTTGACGAAATGTGTGTCAATGAAATGATTGTGATTGTCAAATGAATCAGATTCTGTGGCAATTAAAACATTCTTTTTTAGTCATGATTACTTCTTAATATATTAAGTTTTAGTGAAAAAAAAAAAAAAGCAAAATAACTATTTAAAAATAAAGGGAACATTATAGTAAGAGTGGAACATTAGTATTGTGTTCAGAAATATCATTAATAAATAATAAGATAAAATAGATAGTAAGTTTGTTTGTTTTGTCCATGTTGTATGTGAAATTGAAATTATGTGAAATTGAAATATTATGGAGTGAGGTGAAATTCTAATTGGCCAATTTGAAATTCACACATGTAAAATTTGAATTTCACATATGTGAATTGCGAATTCACATAATTTCATTTTCACGTACAACATCCACATAAAAAATTTTGTTAGAAAATGGATACATTTTCCGTGTATTTTGTATGGAATATGTACGGACTTATACATGTAAAGAGCGCTTTTCTGTACATATTTCATGCATTTTCCATGTATTTTCAGCGCATTTTCAGGGCAAATATGTATTCGATACAGAATATGCGGAAAAAAACATACATTTTGTGACAATTTTTTATAGGGTTTAGTCTCTTGAATTGTAATGGTATATCCTCATTCTTTCTTCTTGGTAAATCTCATATGTGATTCTTTCTTTTCTTAGATAAACCCTAAGGCCTGAGTATCATTTATTTGAAAGTGTAAGGAGCGATTTTTCACTTGTTTTTTCTTCAAAACGCTTCTAATGATGCTGTAATTCTTGGGTTCCATAGTAGATGAGTTTCATATTAACTATTTTTGTTTAGACAAATTTCATAATCACATTCATTAACTATAAATTACATTTGGTAATACAGTCGTGATGTTAAAATTTTTAATTTTTTGATCCCTGAAATCATTGGTAATACCAATGTTCACTTTGTTTTGTTGCAGTATTGCAAATTAAAAAAAAAAAATTTTTTTTTTTTGAATTAAACGAATTAAATTAAATTTAATATTTAATTAACGTTACATACATATACATATATATTAATATATTTCTCCCATAATTATTCTAACAAAATGACACTTCCAATTACATCAGATAATGACAATATTGATACTACTACTTCTCCAGAACTTGATGTTATCAAGAAACATCATGGAGAGATTATTTATGAACCTAATGGTTTTGTTGCCAAGATCTATAGAAAAGATAGTCAACTTAACAGACGTACTGTAAATACATATATTGATATGTGGAAGGGAGACAAAAAAGACCTATCTAATAAAGGGGAAACTGTTATAAAAAGACGCGATAATGCACAAATTATGACAAATGCATTTTATGACATTGTTACTGATTTTTATGAATATGGCAAGTGCCAAATTTTTGTTTATAAAAAATAATAATAATGATTTTTTTGGGACATATCACTTGTGATGACGCGTTGTCATGATTATTTTTATTTATTTAAATTAATATTTTTGATAATTAAAAAAGGATGGGGCGAATCTTTTCATTTTGCGCGTGCATATAAAGGTGATACCTTTGAACAATCCATTAAACGCCACGAACAATTTTTATCTTTAAAACTTGGATCAACACCAAAACATAAAGTTATTGTAAGAAAATGTTCATTTTTTTGGAAGTTTCGATAATTAATATTGCTTTTTCTTCAAATCACACGCAACATTTCATTAACTCATAATTAAAACTTTAATAATGATTATTTATATGTAAAAATTAGGATATAGGATGTGGAGTTGGTGGTCCTCTTCGTGAAATTGTTAGATTGTCTGGAGCACACGTTACCGGAATTAATAATAATGGATATCAAATTGAAAGATGTAAAGCATATTCAAAGAAACTTGGCTTGGAGAATTTGACTGATTTTGTCAAAGTGAGCTTTTTAAAAAATTTTAAAATTAAAATAATACATTTTATCATCACTAATATAAAAATATTTTTTTAAAAAAAAAGTGTGATTTTACAAATATTCCACCAGAGTTGGATGGGAAATTTGATTCAGCTTATGCTGTCGAGGCAACAGTTCATGCACCAAAACTTGAAATGGTTTATGGTGAAATATTTCGTACATTGAAGCCTGGTGGTCTTTTTGCCAGTTATGAATGGGTTATCACTGATAAATATGATGAAAACAATCCTGATCATAAGCAAATTATTCACGGAATTGAGGTTGGTATAATTATAATTACAAGTATAAATCTTTATTTATATATTTATTTAAATTGTAAAACAACTCTTTTTTTTTAATAGGAAGGTAATTCTGTGCCAGCCTTAGGTTCTTACAGTAAAGTGCTTGAAGCTGCCAAAAATGTCGGTTTTGAAGTTCTTGAATATGAAGATATGGCTGTTTTAGATGATTCTCATGAACCATGGTATAGCACTTTGAAAGGAAGTTTTTCATTGAATGGTTTTAGAATGACTCGTCTAGGAAGATGGTACTTTATAACTATTCTTATATATCTATAAATTATAATAGGATTTGCATATTATATTAGTTAAAACGATTAAAATTTATTTTGATTTTTTATTTATTTTTTATAGGACTACTCATAAATTTGTTTCTATCCTTGAAACTTTACGTATTGCACCACCAGGGTCAACCGATGTCTCTCTTTTTCTTAATAATACCGCTGATGCTTTGGTTAGAGGAGGAGAACTTGAAATTTTTTCTCCAATGTTTTTTGTATTATTTAGAAAACCTCAATAATTAATTTAATATATATATATATTATATTTTTTAAAATCTGGGAAAGAAAGCAATCAATTATTCATAATATAAAGAAAATAAGGAAATAAGAAGAAACAATTTAAATTTTATTTATTAGTATTAATATTATTAGATTTTAAACACTTTTTATTTATTTATTTATTTTAATATTTATGATATCATGCTTTAATTTATTTTTTTTAAAAAATTATTATATTATAATTTAATAATCTCTAATTGTATAATCAAATTTGTAACACTAATTTAAAAAATTACCCTTTACTTTTTTTACAATATAATTTATTATATTTATTATGTGTTAGTCATTCATACAATCAATACTGTTCATTTTATTTCGAATTTCACCACCAAACTGATGTCCTATATCTGATATCTGGTATTAATGTGATGAATAGTCTTCATATCCTCTATTTCATTAAATTTGCTAATTTATCTAATTTGTAATAATTCAGAACCATTTAAATAGTTTACAATCTAATGATGAAAATATAAAAATCGGGGAGAGCAAGAGATATGATTGTTGTTACAGTTGGTGCAATATCCATCAAGTTGCGAGTCAGTTGGTGATGATTGAGTTTGTAGTTGTGATGATAATAATGGTAATTGTGAAAAGGATGACGATGATTGAGGTTGTGACAATGATTGCGATGAAGATGATGGTTTGTTTTGAGCTTCTTTTCGAGTATTTAAAATTTATCAGATCTTGACCAAGCTCTTGGTGGATTTTAATTTTATGAGCTGCATCAATTTCTGTCATGGTTTAGGTGTTTTGAGCATGCATTCCTTTTGTGCAAGAGTATGTAAAGCTTCTAGTGCCTTTTTAGTCTTTGAGAGAATTCTCTCGACACTTCGTTAAATTTCGAGTATGTGAATCTTGTTGATATAGGTAGCTGAATTTTATTTCATTAGGGAGAGGTGAAGGGGTAGGTTAAGGTAGGAGGTGAAGGAGGAGGATGATTATCTTTATCAATATCCATGTTCAGCACCATTGTCATCTTTAACCCCAAAGAGCAAGTTATATTGGTTAACATGTAATTCAATTTCAGCCAAAGCCAAAACATATGTTTCGTCCATCTTGCTTATAATCAGTTCCACTAAAAACTACTCCTTCCTTGACAGTTAGTGATTTTATAAATCTCCAAGTTTTAATAGAATATTCAACAGTAAAGTATGAAGTAATGAGTTTGATCTGCTATCCTTTTTAGATTTCTTTTTCTTCGGCATGTTATTTTTCTCCTTATAAATATTATTCCAATAATATTTCTGTTATGTAGTTGTCTAAAGAGTGCTTATAACATTCATTTACATCACTATAAGCAGTTTTCAAATCCTGATAGGCTTGCTGTTTAATTGTGATGTCATTGGAATTTGTTTTTTGTGATTTTGGCTTTGGACTGATTTTTTCTTTTGCTGTAAGTATTTTTCTTTCCTTCTTGAGATCCTTTTCCAATATTTTTACAGCATCAGAATTAGTGTTGGCTGCCGAAACTATTTTGAAGAAGTGAAAGTCAAAACTAAAATTAAAATTTACATGTCAAAACTAAATCAAAAGTCAAAAGTCAAAGGTCAAAACTAGTTTCGACTTACGGCGAAACCTTTTGACTTTCGCATAGTTGCGAAACTCTCTAGTTTTGGAAACCAACATTAATCAACTTCATATTTAGTCTCCCTTGATGCTTCATATTCTTTCATCAATCCAAGGAATGATTGAAAAAGATTTTTCAACAACGACGTTATCAGACAATTCTTTAACGAGATTTTTCAGAATGTTAGATTCTTTATCTTCACGAGGTTTTTTGCAATAACTTATATTTCCTTTATATTCAACTCATTTACTTTGATACAAAATTGCTCTTCTCCAACATTGAAATATGCACCGCAATCGAGACAACATGGTTCTTTATTTGCAACAATCCTTATTACAAATTCGATGAACTATAGATTAATATAGTAATTGATGTAAAGGGTGTTGAAGTAATTTTACCTTTGCATCCATCGCATGGTTTCTGTTCTGGGGTGGTAATACCATTAAAGTGACTCCAGTTATACTCAATGCAAGGATTTGATTGATACTGATAAATAGAGGCTATTACTATGCAGTTAATTCTTCCAAGTTTGGTGAATTTGGCACTTTGTTAAATGGGATTCAGTAGAGTCAATGAATCTCTGATTCCTAGCATACATCGGATTGAGTAATCCCGAGGGATTTATAAAATGTCTCACACACAGAATATTGTAGCTAAAAACGCCTTTGCTTTATTTTTACAAATTAAAATCGTTGCTTAAAGCAACATCTCATTGGTAGACATATGTAAAAAAGCTAAAAACTTTAATTTTATTATGTTATACATCATGATGAAATCGGCAATATTGATACACCGTGCCCATGTCTTCTCCATTTTCATGTATAATATTAAAATATTTATGGGATTGTCGTGGCTGTTTGACCACCAATTCCTTCTCTATCAAAAATCCACCTGGAGAGTTCAACTAATTCTTTAATTTGTAATGTCATATCATCAATCTTAACTACAAGTTGATATTTATTTTTTTTCTATTACAACATCTATAACTTAGATTCTTGAATAAAATGCAACCAAAGTTAGAGTGATATTCTTAGTTACATCTTGAACAAAATGCAATATATATGAACTTTGCGTTCGCAATAAATTATTTTAACTTTCAGTACGCGTATCTTTCTTTTATATACCAGTATATGATTCTTTTCGATAAAATCTACGTCACATACATCATTTATATATATATATTAAACAAAACCACAATGGCTCCAACTTATTTATTATTTTTTATTATTAAGAGAGTGAATCGAAACTTCATGTTTGAGTATATCCCATAAAAGCGCACTGCCAAGATTAACTAGACTTATCTTGATTTTGTTGTTCCAATTCTTAATACCGCCTGGTTGGATTGTTACATGTGAGTTCCCTCATGTCATCTCAAAAAACTCATCTTCGGGTTTATCTACCTTCCAAAGGTGGTCACATCACAAGCGAATTCATTCTTAATTTTCTCTTTAAGTGAATTAACAGGTCGTCGATATTTATAATAATAGGAACACGGAAATTTCCAAACTTTCCACAGAGACGACAGGTGAGAGTTATAGCCTCCATGATCCTGTAAAGGGATAATACAAGTCATCGTATTTATATAATATCTGCGGATTAGATTTCAATTGAAAAGATAAGATATCTGACCGTAAAGGTCATTCTGTTAATATGTAAAGCGCTATAAATAATAAATTGGAAATTTTGGAGCAAAATTAGTCATATATTAATATTAATATGGGATTATTCTCCATGGACAATGATCTCGGAAGGTTTTTACCACGTCAATTAGGCGTTTTTCTATGGGTAAAAAAATGAGAAAGTTTAGCCTAATTATAGGAATTTTGCCACCGACTATGAAATTTAATCATGTAAAACTGGTGATCTGACAAGACAAAGATGAATTTTAACAAGATTAGTTATTTGGGTATCAACCACAATTAATACTCTTTTCTGTTGGATCCAATCCAACCGATTTTTTATAAAATTGAGATCTTTGTAGAACTACTCCAAGAGAGTTCGTGATGCTTCTGCACTCATTGATGATTCACAATAAGGCAAAGATAAAGATACTTGTACCCAAGATTGTTAAAGATTTTTCGAGCGATTCGGAAACAGGAAGCGGATTATGGTTTTTTTGTACTGAGCCATGGGTGGTGAAAAGTTTTCGGTACCTACAAAATCAAAGCTATAAAGTAAAAACAAGTCTATAGGATGGATCATCAAAGTACCTTCCAAACACAGTAATTTTCTAAATGTATACTAAATACTCTCATGCTGTATTTAAAATGTGAATTCTTTTATAAGGTAGCTGAGCATAAGCCTCAAGTTACTAAAGTGTAAAACCCAAGTTACTTGAGCATAAACCCCAAAGTTACATGCCAAAAAAAGAAATTTTTTTACTTGAGGTTCACACTTAAGGCTCAACCCTTGGGTGCTTGGGGTTCAATCTTAAACTTTTGTCCTGGTTGGTCGACAACTTTTTTCAAAACGAAAAGGTATTGTGTGGATAGCAGAAATATAAATAAAATCGTTAAATTTTACAAATTAGGAAACCATACAAATAATGATGATATTTTAAATGAAACAAAAAAGGTAAAAGAGTCTTTATTACAGTTGTTTCTTTACATTAATTGGATGATTTTTTGTTAAGAAATATAAACGATCAATTATTAAAAATAAAAAATCCTATATACATGAAAAATTAATTATTCAAATAATATTATTAAAAACATTAATATCATTTAAATTTAAAATTCCCTTTTTATGATATTCTTCAATTAATTCAGTTATGTATGGGCCCCCATTTAATCCTAATGTAAAAGGTCTAGGACCTTTCCAATTCTTCATTAAATTATCAAATGAATCACGATCAAAAATATCTATACTAAAACCAATAATTATACTTGTTAAATTTTTTGGTAATGACTCATTTAATATTTTAATTATATTATCACCAGCATCAGAATCTAAATATTCTAAATATCTAAATGTAATTTGTTTCAATTTAACACAATTCTTGAATAACTCAATAAAATTTTCATTGGTATCTCTCTTAAAAAAAATTTTTAAATCTTCTAAATTTGGACATTTTTGTTCAATTGACTTTAAGAGTTCAATCAACTGATTCCCATCCATTGGTGAACCACCAACTTCTAAATGTTTAAGACCATTTCCATTACTGATAATAAAAGCTGATAGTTTAAAGAGAAATGACTGGCTAATTAACCTTATACATAAAGTTTCAATGTGTGAAAATAAACTAGATTCCAAATAATCTATTTTATTATTTTTTGGATTCATTACATAATCAGATATTGATAAAAATCTTATATTTTGAAATGTTGGTATTAAAAAATTTAGATTGTTCTCTCCATTGCTGGTATATGAAGTAATTCTTATTGAATGATTTGACAATGCCTCTTTTAATTCAGTTGGAAATATTAAATAATAGTCATGGTGTGAATTAACAACCAAACTTTTTATTTGATTTTGTGCTCTAATTAATTGAGTTACACAATTATCAGCTTCTTTATTATCATTTAAACATCTAATGTATGTTATCTCTAAAGATTTGATATTTTCGCAAATTTTTGCTAATCTACTAACAACATGAATGTAACTAGTGTGAGTGCAATTACTAAAACTGAATTTATAAAGATTTTTAAAGCAAGTGTCAAATCTGTTATGTTTAACTATTAAATCACAAATATAATCAGGATTACTATAATGATTGATTTTTTTGATCATAGAATAGTCTAAAATAAAGTTTACCAATCTTTTAATTAAAATTTTAACCTTGACATCATCAAATATTATTTTTGGAATTAAATCAATTATACCCGTAAAATTTAATTCAGTGGTAAGCTTTACATAGTTGTGTAGTGGTTTGTTCTCCAACAGTTCAAACTTTAATTCAATGTTGTTTTTTGTTAGGAAATCTTTGTCTTCTACTGATAAACACTTGATTATTACTTTGGTGCTGTTTTCAGAATAGAAGGGATCTCTCCATAAAATTGGAATGCTAATGTTGTGCCAATGTTTATTAACCAGAACACATGAATGTAGTGTATTATAATCTTCTTCAACATATTTTGTTATTTCGCTTAAAAGCTCAGGTGCCAAAATCGAAATTGTCGCCATATTAATATTTTCTTCGCTTTAAGAAATAAACCTTGTATCACCTATTTATATTTATTACTAACCAATTAAAATCCAAGATTTATCTTGAATTTTTTTCAATAGTACTAATAAAAATTTTTTTTTATATATATATAGGAAAATGAAACCCCACAATAATGATGATGATGTTATATTAATTAAAAAATTACAAAATGGGTTAGAATTATTTGCATGTAGTTTATATAATGTCACCAGTACCAAAAAAATTTTTTTTGTGACAGAGCAACATGACAAATTGATGAAAAAAATAGTTAAATTAGATGAGGATAAAGTCCTGGAACAATTGGTAATTAGATTTGTATCGGAATGTAAATCAAGTTACAGGGAAATAAAAAAACAAAACAGTATATTAAAATTACAAGATGCTTTCAGTAGAGCATTGGAACAGGCTTGTTTTCAAATTAATAATAATAATAATAATAATGGATTTGACGAATTGGGTGATAAATTAGAAGATTTTGATGATAAAATAGAAACTGACTACATTGCTAAGATGTCGATAAATAATGGAAAACAACAATTTAAACCAAAATTTGTTGAAAAAAAGCCTCTATCGTCAGCATGGGTAACACCCGAATTTACATCTACAGAAGAGGCAACCAAAGAATATCAACATCATTTATACAGTGATAATAATAATAAATTATCTTTTTTAATGGTCTATGAAATTTCAAGAATCTTGAAACCATTTGGACCAATTAAACCCACTTTTTCCATATGGGAATATATTAAAAAAAACTGTGGCGGCAGTAACGGTTTTCAATTAAATGAGTACTTTAGAGTAATTTGTCAACAGTATTGTAAAAGTCAAAATATAAATCCCTTTTTAGAAATAAGTAGATTGCTTCCACGAAATCAAAATGTTTGGAAGTTATGGGAGGACGAACAAATTGATATTTCTACTACTAAATCATCATCGTCGTCGCCGTCGCATATACTATATAGTGCAAAGGTGGTTCCATGTAAAGGAAAATTGGTGATACATTTGAATCCACCAAAAATTGGAGTTTCCAAAAGATACTATAGACTATATTCCTCAAATAGATTTTTACACATAAAAGTTGAAACAGACAATTTCGATGGAGAGCTTCAATCTCAATTATTATGTCCATTAAATTTGTTTGAGAGGAGGTACGAATTTTTTTATGCAAAAGATAAGATATTCTATTATTTTGCAACACATGGTATAGACTTGGAACCAAAATCACTATGGGAAGTTATCGACTTCAATATCCCAATGGAATTAAATCATGATCTAACAATTTCAAAGTTCTACTCCAGAGTATCATTAGGCCTTTCCAACACTAAACCAACAATTGTTTTTCAACCGCATGAGATTCGATATAATGTTGATGACATTATAAAGAACGGTCATTGTCTGACAGATGGCTGTTCTGCAATTTCATTAGCAGCAATGAAAAAAGTTGCCTTGATGTTGGGATACTTGGAAACACCGCCTGCAATTCAAGGTAGAATAGGAGGCTCTAAAGGTGTTTGGTATTTAAAACCACAAGAAGGTCATGATAATGATAATGGTGTATGGATCGAGCTTCGAAAAAGTCAGATAAAATATCAATTGAGGCCTCACAGGGTTGGAAATGATGAACATTTAAGGACTTTGGAAGTTATTAATGTCGTAAAATCTCCAAAAACACCAGGTTTACTAAACATACAGTTTATTAGGGTATTGGAAGGTGGAGGTTTAAGCGCAAACGTTTTCATACAGATAGTTAAAGAAAACATATCAAGAATAAAAGAGAAAGTGATTGGTAATGAAAATCGACATGAACTGATATCTTGGCTGCATGATGTTGGTAATATAACTAAGAGAAGGATAAATGAAAAATACATGTATAATGATGATGATATATCACCAGAAATAACTAACCAAGAGGATTTTACAAATTTTGAGACAGAGCTAAAAGAACTTTCAGGGGTGCCTGAGTCGAATTATGAACAATGTATTCAACTTCTCAGTGCTGGTTTTACCCCATCCAGTTGTGCATTCCTTGCAAAGAAATTGACAGATGTTTTAATTTATACTTTAAGTCCGTTGATAAATAAGTATAAGATTGAAGTTCCATTATCAAGAACGTTGATTTGTATAGCTGATCCTAGTGGTACATTACAGCCGGGTGAAATATTTATTCAGTTGGATAAGTATGCAGGTGTAGATCCTAGAACCGGCCTACCTTTTGGTGTGATCGAAGGATATGTGATTTTGGCAAGGAATCCATGTTTGCTTCCATCAGACATTATAAAGGTTAAGGCTGTCAAGAATCAATACCTGAAAAATTATTACAATTTGCTAATATTCCCAATAAATGTTAAACCAGGTGAAGGTTCATTAGCAAATCATTTGAGCGGTGGTGATTATGACGGAGATAAGGTATGTTTATGTATATAACATAACATGTGCATACATATATTATATAATTTTTTTTTAATACACAGTAAATCTCGATTTAGCGGATAGTTTGGGTAATTAGCATTTTCCAAAAATCCGTTAAACCAAGATATCCGCTATATCGAGATTCACTGTGTATAAATATTAACAAATTTATAAATATATAGATTTTTTGCTGTTGGGATTCACGCATTGTAACTCCATTTCAAAACTCACTTTTGTTACCATTGGATCCAAACGTTAAGGAAGCATTTGAGAAAAATAATATTAGATTACAAGATGTGTTATCTCGTTATAAACAACCGTCTACTAGAGCCAGGAAATTACAAGAGATAATCATGTATGTTTATTTATCAGATCCTCCGCTTGGGCTATACGATTGGTTTCATCGATTGCATTCAAATAAATATGGATTATCAAATCCAAGATCTATATACTTTGCACAAATGTGTGCACAACTTGTTGATGCTACAAAGCAAGGACTAAAAATCAAACAGGATGTTTTAAAAATTGACAAAGAAAGTGTTTTTCAACTTCCAATACCAAAGTGGATGGGGAAAGGTGATTTAATTAAAAATGAAAAAAAGAGAAATTTAAATGTGGAAAAGAGAGAAGGCGACGAGAAGATGAGGGAGGGGGAGCAAGAAGAAAATAATGATAAAATGTTAAATGAAATTAAAAAAAGTGTGATGGATATTTTATATATATCTGTTGAAAATGAAAAAAATGTGCTTGGAAATGAAAGTTTCACTGTAGCAAATAACCAATCAGAAACCCTCGATTCACATATTAGATTGTTTTGGCTCCATGAAATAGAGCTTGCAAATAAAATTGAAGATGGTGGTGCATATAAATCAGATTTGTTATTGATTGGAAATTTTACACACAAATTAGTACAAGATTATAACGCTAGATATTATGACAAAATTAAAAAGAAAAATGAGGCTGAAATGATGGCAAAAACATCATCAACAACAACATCAATTGAGACAACCCCCGAAAGAAAAAAATCAACATCATCAATAAAGAATAAAACAACATCTAAATTATTTAATGACAAAAGGGTCGAAAAAGACCATAGCATTGAATATGAATTTTTACATAAATTTATGATGAATCCACCTGTTGATCAATACAAAAGCAATCGACTAAAATATATTAGCCGAGTAAATTTTTGTGATCCACATGTGCTTTTTGAATTGCAACTGAAATCAAGTGCATTATATATGAATTCCTTTCTTAAAAAGGATACAGGTCAATGTTGTTGGAAGTTGGCATTCAGGAATTTGTGTAATATTAAAGCTATGATGATGGAATTTGAACAATCATCGGTATTAGGTGGGCCAAGATTTATTATTGATGAGGTTTGGAATACACTTAAAGTTGACAAAAAATGGTTGGAAAAAGAACATAATAATACTGAGTATTATGACGGTAATTATGATAACAACAGTGCTAACAGTGGTAGCAGCGTTGGTATCATCAGTGACAATATTAATAATATTAGTAATATTGCTGGTGATAGCATTTCATAGTCAGTTGGTTCTTTGATTAAGTTGGCTAGATAACTTTGGTGATGCTGTAAATATTTGTAGTTAGATGTCTGTATATAAAAATCGAGTTATTTATTTATAATTTTTGTTTCCATATTTCTGAGTCTATGATTATGGAAAAAATTTTGGTCTCAAAACTTTTATAATTTGTAATTTTCAAGGTAGGGTTAGAGAAAATATGCACAATTGTATAGATTTTAAAATACTATTGTACATATGACTTCAAAAATTTCATGTGATTTTTTTTATAAAATTAAATTGATTAATCGTATCATCTTTATAGGATAAATCGTTAATATATAAAAATATTATTCTCATCCAATGCTCCTTGTGAACAAATTTTTATTATATTTAATTATAAATTAAACTGAAATGTTATGCACACTTTTTTCTAACAGGTTTCTGCATAATTCATCGATCATTTTATTGAAAAAATTACAATTGATGAGTTACTTTGCCATCATCTCACAATCATCATCCTTATTTATAAATGACGATATCTATTTTATTTCATAAATATGAATAATAATCTTAATACATCATGAACAAGTAAAAAAGACACGTCGTTATCATACTTTAATATAATATTAATTAGGCAATAAACTTGGTGCATCTAAACCGTTCTAAAAAAAAAAGATATATCTCATGAGAATTAATATTTAAAAATTAACAGTAATAAAGAAAATCAATTAATAACCACCATTATAATTGCCACTTTGTTGGGATTTACAGGTTGAGGAAAGATTTATAAATTTTAATAATCTGCTAGTATAAATAGCATTTGGATGAATCGTTGCAGTAATCGTTGAAGGATCAAATTATTTTATCCATTATCTTAATACTTTCTAGTTGATTTTAATTTAGCACAATACCCTTTTGAATATATTTCATCATCTTTATCAATAATCATTCTAAAATTCAATAATATCTCACATTTCATCAGCAGATGGATGTTTATCAGCATCCATGCTAATTCAATATAAAATTTTGGAATGTTGTTTGATCTTACACCATTACATACTTTTATTGCAAAAGTGCCAAATATTTTTTTATTGCTAATTATGATTTTTTATGGATAATAATTAAATATATATATATATTTCTTGGAAATAAAGACTCTTTAATGCTTATATTCGTTATTAATTATTACGTTGCGTAATGTTTACCTTATAAACATAATAATAGATAAAACAATTCTACCTAATTAATACCAACGCTTACTCATACACGATAAGGGTTTATTTATAATTTGAAAGGTAAATAAGCGAGTTTTACATGCCAACATAAATGGGGAATAAAATTAGTAAATAATAATAATATAAATCAAAATACCTTAATATTTATGTTATATAATGTTTAGAACAAGCTTCAAAAGATTGGTATTAGTGTAATAACATACTAATATACTAATACTTTACACGAATGTCCGGATATTGTCAAAAGAATATTAATATTAATATTAATATTAAATTAACTGAAATTACAAGTATTTGAAATATTATGTGATCCACACATTGGATTTTAAAAATCCACCACCATTCAATTCAGCTTTAAAAGGGGAGTCTATTAATCCAAATCTTTCCATAGATTTTTTAAATTTGAAAGTTATGCTCAATAATTTTCGTGTTATATACAATATTTTGAATCTCACTACCAAATTTGGTAATGATTTTCTTTTAATGTAATATGTTCGTTAAACTTTTTTGTTGTAAAGAACTTTTATTTATTA